CATGAGCAAACAGCTAATCTTTGGACACCACTCCTGGGAGAGCTGCTTAATGAGAATAATTTCCTCTATACTAGTTGTAAAGTCCCAGCATATCCAGGGCCCGCGCTAGCGCAAGGCAACATGGGCAGCTGCCTGAGGGCGCCAGGGAACAGGGGCGGAAAAGTCTGCTGGGCAGGGACAGTCGCCAGCATAAGTCCGGCCGTCGGATCGAGATCAGTGTAGGCTGCCGCTGTGGGCGGCATCTGAAGGACGAGTCCCCGCCGGCCGCAGCGGCGCTGACCAGTGCAGACAGTCTCAGACAGTTCAACTTGTCGGGCCAGAGCAGCGTTATGGGGAAGCCGGAAGCGCCACTGAGCAGTCCTCTTGTCTACGTCCTACGTCAGTGAGTGACGTAAGTGGCCCCGCCCCTGGTTCCCCTGGCCGCTCAGCCGCATGTGAAGGAGTGAGGGCTGCAGAAGGCGGAGCAACGGACGGACGCACCAGCAGGCAGTGCGGCGTCATCCTGGAGGTGACGGCGACCTGTTGAGGGACTCGGGAGCCGCCGGGAGCACAGTCTGCTGCTGCACAGATTTGGAGTGGAATTTGGAACCGAGCGAGGAGGCGTTTTCGGTTCACCCTCTCATGGTGACCCACCCCAGAAGAGGACATCGGAGGACTCGTATCGGGAATCGCGATCGGGAGCTGGCTGAAGTGGGAGTGGTATGTAAGGTAACAAAGACAAAGTGCACGTGGTATGCTGCATTGTATTGTATTATTGTGTATTGTATTGTGTATTGTATAATACAGCGGCACAATGCTGAACACCAGCAGCTATAGAGAAACAGGTAAGGGGGACCTGTTTTAAAGTTTGCTGTTTAAAAAAAAAAAAGCGGCACACTGCAGAACACAGCTATAGATGAACACCAAATCCCTGCAATAATATATTAAGCAGCCTGTATAATTTATTATTGCTGGGATTTGTTGTTCCTCTATAGCTGGTATTCTGCATTGCGTTTTATATAAAGTATTATTGCTGGGATTTGTAGTCCTCTGTAACTGCTGGTATTATGCATTGCGTTTTATATAATGTATTGCTGGGATTTGTAGTCCTCTGTAACTGCTGGTATTCTCCATTGCGCTGTATAATGTATTATTGCTGGGATTTGTAGTTCCTCTATAACTGGTCAGTGGTATTCTGCATTGCGCAGTATAATCATCATACAGCGCAATGGAGAATACCACCAGCTATAGAGGACTACAAATCCCAGCAATAGTGCATTATATACAACACAATGCAGAATAACGCCATCTATAGAGGAATACATCAGATCACAGCAATAATACATTATATACATTATAGTATAGGGTAGTATTGCTGGCATACTAGACATACTATTGCTGTTGTGTGTGTGCGTGCGTGCGTGCGTGCGTGACAGGGGGGCGTAAAAATGCACCTTCGCCTGAGTTGGCAAAAATCCTTGCACCGGCCCTGAGCATATGCTCTCCTGTTATGACATCAGCACTATAATAGGAATACATAGTAGAGTTGTTTCTGAGAATACAACCAACGCTCCCTTTTATGTAGTGAGTGCCGCCTTCCATCTGCCCTTCACTTCCAACAACTTCCTGGATTCCCAGTGTGCTTTGCGTCTCTTTCCCATCTGCTTGATGTGATGCAATCTCCATTTCTCAACACCACATATCCCACCATGCATTGCTTCTAGCTAGCAATGATGATGTTACGTTGTTCAGATGTTGAGTTGTAGTTCAGAAGGCAGGCTCTGTGAGAGCGGTGACACCAGGAAGTGAGTGCAATGGTGTCACTCCATTGAGGAAGTCCATCTTACATGCATCTTCAATAAGTACGTTTACAGAGTTCTAGATGGATCTGGTTATTAGGAGTGGGATAGAATGTATGGAAAGTCAACATAGAAATATCATAAAGAAATGATTCCCCTTAGCACTGAGGAAATCCCTAAGTATAGCTGATTAATTAAGGATATCGTAACAGGTAAATTCTTTACAAAAGTATTTAATGAAGTGGAAAAATATAAACACATAAATCACACAACACGAACAATTAAAACTTTAAAAGATCATGAAGACTAGCCTGCAACAGCTACATGTGCGTGCATAAATCGTGGCAGGATTTATTATAGTTACCCCTCATGGGTGTCGAGCGGTCAGTGATGGATCAGATGCTGGAAAAAATGGATCCAACTTTTGATTTGGGAGAAAAGTCCATTCAAAGAAATGTTTCTCTGTAACAATCCAGACGGAGTTCATAGCCGGTTCTTTGACAGTTTCCAAATGTGTCTCTTAGTAGTGCGGCCGCACCAACTCACTGTGTGAGGAGACAGGAAACACTTTGTATCCAAGCTTTTGATTCCGTCACCGTCTATTGACATCCAAGCAGTGTGGCCCGATCCGCTCTAGGGGTTTCATCAGGCCGTCCTTCGGCCATAAGTGCAGCATATAATGCAAAGCTGTGCAGGGAGCTCCAGACACGCTGTCCCTCAACATAGAAATACAGATTTCTTTTTACTTTTTGACTATAGATACCCTTTAAGAGCAAACAAAAAACATCTGCTGCTTTAAGAAATCCAATGCCCCTATGCCTTTCTTTTTCCAGAAGAAAGGCAATTTTCCTCACTTCCTGTATATTGGAAAAAAAAAAAAAAAGGAAGTGAGGGTAAATCTCACCTCTCAAAGACTTAAAGTGATATTAAGGGCAAAAATGTTTTTCCCTCCCCCCCATGTAAATGTTAGCACTTACCTTAAATCATGTCATTATTCTGGTCTTCCTCTTCTTTCCCCATGTTTTCATGTGTCCCTCCAGCGGTGTGACGTCACTCCGATCCAGCGCTGACTGCTCTGTCTCTGTCCAATAGCAGGCTAACTATTTCTCCCCATTGTTTACATTCTGCTGCTGACCTCGGAATCTAGCTGCCGACTGGCAGCAAAATGTAACCAAATAATTTTGTCACATGTATTAATCATATAATTATCAGGCTGATTAATAAATCACTAAGATTCAACGTTATTCTGTGAGTGCTGGTGATTTTCACTTTCACCATGCTTGATGTGCATGGCGCCATCCGTGGCTATCACTATGAGCACCACTGTTACAAAAGCTCCTGACAGCTGTGCAGGGGACACATCTGAACGGTATGTTGTTTCTGCTGGCATTCTTCCTGGCACCCCAGCGGTTGACCGCCGAAGTTGGGTTTGTAATCCTGCGTCCACCGAGAGAATGTCTCCTGGACACATCTTATAATTGAACAAGCAACGGACACCATAGTTCCACTTGGATGGATTCATGGATGAAGGGGATATAACTTCTGAAATCGCAGCACCTGCATGTACCTACAGCAGACAAGAAATTGAAGTGGTATTATTTCCATCCAATCCCACAGCTGCTCTGACTGTTTGTTTTGTGACCCATTTGTTTTGTTACCTTAAAAGACTAACAAAGAAGCGTGTAGATCATGGACATACACTGTCTGAATATTATCGAGCTAGGAGGATCCATAAAGGATTCTGTATACGTAACCAACCCACCATTGGCGGACACGAAAGAGACTTTTGGGAAAAATGGTGTGACATTTCTACACCAAATTCACTAAACTACATGCTTCTAGTGATAGTAGTAGTTTAGGTCCAACTTTGCCAAGTTAACAAAAGCATTAAAGGAGAACTATGAGATGAGTGATTTCCACTCACCTCATAGTTCTAGCCGACCTGTGACAATGAGACTGTCACAGGTCGGCTCAGAAGATCGGGAGGTGAGCAAACACATACCGGGTTCGCTCACCTCTCGATCCTGTCACGGCTCTCTGCCGTGACAGGGGGAGGGCTGGATTCCCCTCTCCCCGCTCCGATCTGCCAGCGCTGACTGGCGGAACGGACGGGGAGGGGGCGGGTACAGCTGGCTCTGCCTCTAGATAGGCAGAGCCAGCTGTCAGTCACGCAGCTGGGCGGATCCCGTCATCTACGTCGGGATCCGCTCCAGATGCGGCGTCTCAGGGTAATGGGAGGACGCTAGTTTGTGTCCTCCCGTTACCTTAAGGAAAACTATGGGGAAAAACCAGATGCGGCTTAGGGTAATGGGAGGACGCTAGTTTGTGTCCTCCCGTTACCTTAAGGAGAACTATGGGGAAAAACACTGACCCCATAGTTCTCCTTTAAGACCGCTCTAAGGCTTGACAAAGAGGGTTACCCTCGAAATGCGTAGCCGCTACTTCAACCCACAGGGGTGTCTCACCCCACAGTACATCTCCCCTGGACTCACGAGCACCGACGGATACAGTGTGTTTGACCCTCCAGTGTTTGCGCCGTACACCACACCGATGCACACTCTTCAGTGCGGTTTTCTACTGCCGGTCAAGGTTTTCTTTCCTGCTCCACCTGCCGCGGCTCGGCCCTGCCAGCCGATGACGCGGTTTCTGGGGAAACCCCGGGGATAACCTGGACACTCCAGACCAGTATTATACGGACCAGTATCGTCACCCTTACGTGACTGCAGGGACTTCGGTTGCTGACCGATGACATCCTAACTGTAAGTCACACATTTACCATTTCAGTCCTAATTATTCAGCCAGTTATAGCAGGCTGTACAGCACTCATCTATCCATCTATTTATTCAGTTATTGAGGTAGTTTCAGTCTTCTATATACTGTGTTTTAACAAAAGCATTGCCACACACAAAAACCCTATCAGGGGGAAAGTGACGGAAGACGCTTTCTACAGCTCTGAACTCTCAAAAACTGAATCTGAGGTAGCTGCCTACGCTGACAAAATCAGAGCAGCCAAAAGGAAGACATTTCAACAGGTCTGCCTGGACTACCAGGAAGGGAGAGTATACCTCATTGTATACTCTCACTGGCAACAGCTCCCAAAGACGACATAAGAGAGGTGCGTTCACACAAGGAGGCCCTCCACAATACCTCAAGAAACAACACACCACAGCTCGTGAAAGTAAACGACCTACGGAAAATCCATCTACCGACATTGACGCCCCGATGGCTGATCCAAAACGACGTCGCCAGTGCTGCTCCATCTACGTCATCTGCTTTTTAAAGAGGAGACGGACCAGGAGAGGTAGCAAAAAAAAGAACCTAGATCCTCATGAATACCATACACTGCAGACAGAGAAATGCCGGGTAATTAATTGATCCTCTAAACCATTGTAGCACCATACTGGAAAGAGTGCTATTACATTTAATATTGTCAGATTGTATGCAGTCTGATGCTGATTTGTAGTCTGGGTTCATTTGGTTTCCCCTAAACACTCTGTGATCATTTGCATCTGTCTGCTGCTAGGTGTACTGCTTGGTGTATACTGGTCACAGAGCAGAGCAACCAATGAGAGATTGCTATGAGTAGATATCCCTCTCCAGCCAATCAGAGTTAGACAATGGCCAGTGGTGCATGCTGGGGAGAGATAAGGAGATAAATACTTGGGTTGGGCCATGTGAGCTCTCTTTCTCCCCCGGGCCCTGCCTGTGGGGAAGCTGAGGTGGTTTCTCTGAGATGGCTAGGCCTGAAGCCTGAGGACTAGCCGTGTGATGACCCTGGAGCCTGATAGCAACAGGGCCAGCTGTTAATACTGATGACAAGGACTAGTGACTTCTACCTCAAATATTGCTGTGTCAGGTATTCTACCTGCTGTGCATGGAGACAGTAACCACACTCTGCGATGTAATGGAGTCTACATCTGCCTAGATCCTTGGTTCTCAACTTGTGGGTCGTGACCCAAAAGTGGGTCACGACCCCGTGTTCAGTGGGTCGCCACTTGCCTTAAACTTTTCTAGGTAAAAGGCTCCTCTGCCTCCCCCTAGTACAGCACTGTCAGTTCTCGTGCCAAGCAGCCATTCAAAGTATGCTTCCCGGCGCCAAGTGTCACCTTGAGGTGGGATGGGATGGGGCTGTGGCTGCGAGGGAGCTCCATCCATATGTGCATTCTGGTGTAGGAGGTGTGTTGCGTTGCCATTCATTTGAATGGTACTTCAAACGCACCTCCGACCCACAGTTAGTGCGCCCGCACCGGAATGTGCAGTCGAGACTTGGATCGCGACTTAATGACCAAGGACAAATGTGGGTCCTGATGTTACACAGGTTGAGAACCACTGGCCTAGATGATCCTAAGCCTCCACCTCTCTCCCTGAAGTTCTACAATAAAGGTTCTAAGCATCATACCTACAGTCTGGACATCATTTATATCGATCACCACAAAGGGCGGTAAGTGCTGATGGGCAAATTAAGTGAGATTACCCCTAGACAAGAAGATTTTGGAGCTGCAGTAACCCATTGCAACCGGCGCTGGAACTCAAGGTGTGCTGGTGTGCTGTGGATCCATTATAGAGCTTTCTTGCAGAGGAAATACAGGGAGACCCATTAGTTCTTTTACTGTAGATCATCCCTTAGGAGCCAACGGTAGTGTTATCCTGCATTGGATATCGCTGATCGAGTAAGGGGGATGCTACACAACTGTAATATTGTAACAATGTATTTATGAATAAAGTTTGTTTGCAGGAGGTGTTGCAGGCTGTCCTGAATGCAGAGTAATGAGACCGGGTAGAGTGAGCCAGGATGGGTCACTTTGCTATTCAGGTGCCAAACCCTCAATAGAAGAACAGGCTAATGGTTATAAATAGCAGAATATCTGGCCCAAAACCAGAAGGGTGGCAACCATAGAACGTACCTGCGTAATCATCCGCCCTATATAGCCAGATTTAATGTGAGTAATTAACCCATTTCTAGGCTAGCCCAGGTCACATGACAGCCCAGGTCTTTCTGACTCGGCTTCCCATCATGTTCCAACTCTGCAGTTAATCCTCTGGAACCATGAGGAAGGGAAGACTCGTCGTTCCAGTGCTACTGGCTGCCCTATGCCTGCTGAGCTACTTCTGGTACAGGAGCATATTTCTGGTAAGAAATTCAGCTACATAATCTTTTACTTTTGATGGTGGGTCTTTTTTTTAAATAGTCACTTAAAAGGTAAATTAATTTAATACAGTTGATAATAATTCTAGCCAATATACCTCCTTTTAGCTTGTTAGCTTTGGATGGATTGGTGATGGGTTACAAACCAAGTTTTTATTGCTGTATGTGTGCGCAGAGGGGAGACTTCCCTTCACTTCCTATTCCAGAGATGCAACAGGAAGTGATGCAACACCAGATCCAGGCAACCATAATGATTATACAGCAATGCAGAACACCACCAGCTATACAGGACTACAAATCCCAGCAATACATTACATTATACAATAGGGATGCATCGATACCAGTATCAGTATCGGTACCAATACTGGACATTTTCACGAGTACTCCTACTGATGAAAATGCCTCCATACTAAGAGCCGATATCAGCACTTTTATTTTTATAATTGAAGCGGCTGTCTGAGGTCCTGCGCTTGCTGGGGACCTTGGCAGCCTTCTTGTTAACCATGCGGTGCCTGTTTACAGCGCCGGCCGCACACCTCCTCCTCTTTCCTGGGGAATCCCACCGCCCACAACCACCTGCGAGACCCCCCACAACCCTGGTGAGACCCCGCACAGCCCTGGTGAGACCCTGCACAGCCCTGGTGAGTTCCCGTACAGCCCTCCTCAGATCCTCCACAGTCCACCTGAGACCCTCCACAGCCTTCCTGAGATCGTCCGCAGGAGACATCAGGCTGGCACCCCGGAGCAGCACAGTGTATGTAGCGTCAAATTATTCTGCATTGCTGTATAATGTATTGCTGGGATTTGTAGTCCTCTATAGGCGGTTGCTAATAAGCATTGCTGAGATTTGTAGTCCCCTTTAGCTCGTTGCCATTTGGCATTGCTGTATAATGTATCACTTGGATTTGTAGTCCCTCTGCAGCTTGGACCTTTTTTTCTGGCAGCGCCCCTCCTGAGACTAGACGCTGCATCTGCCCCTGGTCCACACTTTGGAATTCAATCATGTTGCAAATCTTTATTGTGCTAAGAAATCCTGCACAGCCCACCTGGGCTCCTTCCGCTGACGGGTTTCACTCAAAAGAGCTTAATCTGAGAGTAGAGGAATTTCATGGAAATTTTCCTTAAAGTGGAAGGAAATCCTGCCTTTGACAGTTGTCACTGGAATATCCTTTGGGAGATTTTTATGCCATAATATAGTGCTGCGCTAAAGCTCCAACCACAGAAACGAACGCAGGAGTCAAAGCAGGAAGGGTATGTGTCATTTAGAACCCCACAAAGGATCCTCCTGCTGGTCTCCCCGAATGGTTCCGGCCTCCCTCCGCTCCATTAATGGTACTCGGGCACTCCTCACCCAGCACATCATTTTTAGGGCTCCTCCTCTGCACCCAGTCTTCTTTCGCCCCCCTTCTGCTTCTTCTGTGAGGAGTTCGTAAGGCAGAGTGCAGAGGTCAGTAGTAACACACATGAAGGGGAATTTATCAAAACCGGCACAGACGGAATCTAAAACAAGTGCTAATGGCAACCAGCTTCCCTCTTTCATTTTCAGAGTTTAATTTGAAAAAAAACCTGAAGACAAAAACTGATTGGTTGCTATGGGCAGCTCCTCCAGATTTTGTGTGCTCCAGCTTTCATAAATCCCCTGATTGTGCAGAGGTCAGTAGTAATGCAGAGTGCAGAGGTCAGTAGTAAGCATATTGCTGAGCTCAGTGGTGTAACGCAGAGTGCAGAGGTCAGTAGTAAGTAACACAGAGTGCAGAGGTCAGTAGTGATATAGAGTGCAGAGGTCAGTGGTGTAACACAGGGTGCAGAGGTCATTAGTAACACAGAGGTCAGTGGTTTAATGCAGAGGTCAGTAGTGGTGTGACGCAGAATGCAGAGATCAGTAGTAATGCAGAGTGGAGAGGTCAGTGGTGTAACACAGAGTGCGGAGGTCAGTAGTAACGCTGAGTGCAGAGGGCAACAGTGTAACGCAAAGCTCAGAGGTCTATAGTAATGCAGAGTGCAGAGGTCAGTAGTAATGCAGAGTGCATAGCTCCGTAGTAATGCAGAATGCAGAGGTCAGTTGTGTAATGCAGAATGCAGAGGTCAGTAGTAATGCAGAGTGAGGAGGTCAGTAGTAAGGCATAGTGCAGAGGTAGCAGTGTAACAGTGTTGCTTGGGGGGGGGCAGCGATCTTGTCTAAGGTGGTACAACAAAGCCCCCAGAAGCCTTGTTAGGCCCTCCCTACAGGACCTGCCCATCTGAAATGTCCAGCCAATGATGGTACTGCAGTCTTTTTCCCAGCCTATAGCAGCTAAAGTGGGTGGAGCAAGATGCAGGTGGCCGTGAAGGAATCATATCTCAGACCCCAGCATTATAAGGTCACATTACTAAGCCACAATACTGCCCAATGGCGGTTGCAAAGAAAGATCCAATTAACAGAATACACAAAGCTCTGGGTATCTGAAGATAATATTCCAAAAAGGAATTTGACTGGTTTACATTAGAACAAATATGTTATGTATGTTTTATTTTTAATTTACAGAATTCCCTTAAGAATGCTTTTCAGAACTGCTATTGGTCAAACAAGAATGAAAACACTCTGAACCTAACAACCCAACCCCCAAAGAAAACAGACCTCCAAATGAAAATAGATGCCATGTTTGACAGGATTGAAAAACTCATCCCCATCGCTCCATTCACACATTTTAATAGAACCACAAGTGGAAAACATAGCAAAGCATTCATAGCAAATCCAAAGGAACAATACTGTGTTGGAGAAGAATTGGTGGTACAGATTGATATGTTTGATCACTTGGGCAACAGGAAGAGGCACGGGGGGGACTTCATAAGAGCCAGGCTCTTCTCTTCAGGACTTGGAGCTTCTGTGTCCGGACAACTAGAGGACCTGTACAATGGATCATACCATGTTCGCTTTCATTTATATTGGGCAGGGAATGCCAAAGTCTCCATTTGGTTGTTCCACCCAAGTGAAGGGGTGGCAGCTCTCTGGAGGGCAAGGCATGCCAGTCAAGGGGTTCTTGGGTTTGAGGGAAAGTTTGAAATGTTGGGTAAAAATGCTGTGACTAAGTGTGCTTTTAAGCTGTATGAAGAAGAGGGGAAGGAGATCTGTGAGTACCTAGACCCCTTATATGAAGAGGCCTTCTACTGCTTCAAAGCTCCCAACTTCACTTGTGAAAGTCTGAATGAAATGAGAGGCTACGATCTTCAAATACCACATATCACTCCTGATGAAAGTAAACTATTTGAAAGGTACTGTTTCCATCAACACTACATACAGTGCCTTCCAAAGGTACCCTAAGTTCTCTGCAAAAGGTATTTGTTTCTTGATATGGTTTGGGCATGTTGAACAGATGCCAAGGTGGAATTCCAGGGGGCTGGAGGAATTATGTGCACCATCTGTCCTAGGAATGCCTTGGAATCTCCTTTGAGGCCCTTAAGCTTGTGGTCAGGCAAAAGCCAAATTTGGGCTGGTTTGGGCAGCTTGCTGCTTCTTTTGCCCAATAGGATAATACGACCACAAATTAGCCTAATTTAAATAGCATTGATATTAAATGCTTATATTATATAGACCTTACTTCTGTTCATAGTCTTTAAAGGAACACTGGTAGGAGACGCAAAGATTTTCCATTTAAATAGAGGACAGAGTAACAGACTATCTGCACTGTGGGCCTCCTTACATTAGTGGTCAATGGAAAAAGATTCTACTTACATTGGAGAAGGGTCCACTTACATTACTGGTTAATGGAATATGACCTCTTTCTTTAGATGATCGGATCCTCTTACATTGGTGGTAAGTCGAAAAGGACTCCTCACTTTAGTGATAGGATCCCCTTCTATTGGTGGTCAGTGAAGAAGGACTCCTTACTTTAGTTATAGGATCCTGAATGGGAGAGGTGCCCCTTACATTGTTGGTAAATGGGAAAAGGGCCCTATTACAGTAGTGGTCAGTGAGGCCTCATTCACACCAGGGCGAAATTGTTTCAGCGTGGTTTCCACGTGAATTTTAAAAGGGTGTTTTGGAGCATTTTTAAATCGCGTTTCAGTGCTGATCATTCCATCGAAATCTATATGGAATTCACACTGATCAGTGTGAAAAAAATAGCTCAGGGAGCATTTTCGGCAGCAGGTGGTTTGGATCACGCAGAGCCGTGAGATCGCATGAACAGTCCCCATAGGAATGTATGGGGTTGTTCATGTCGGCGGTTCAGCGCTGACAAATCCGCGCGACCGAACCGCCCTGGTGTGAACGGGGCCTGAGAGAGGTGCCCCCTTACTTCGGTAGTCATAAGGAGAAGGACCCTTTACTTTGCTGGTCATTAATATTTTAGTTTGGTGGGAGGGTTCTGGTCTTCAGAGGGAGAGTTTTCCACTTTACATTAGTGGTTAGCGGGCGAGGAAACCCCTTACTTGAAGTTTTCCTTTTTGGTTCTGAATATCATTTCAACAAAATAAAATGTTAAAGTAGGTGAAGCACATAATACATTTCTTAAAGAACACAATTTTTTTTAAAGGTCAAACATTGCTGTTGATATCCCTCAGACATTTGACTCTATATCCATCAATGCCTGTAGAGGTAAGCCTCCCTTTCCTTCTGTTTTCTGTTAAAAATTACTTGTTTCTTCTGCACAGATATTGATTCATCCGAATTCAAAAGGTCAATAATCGTTGGTTATCAAAAAAACTGAATTATGTAAAGTGTCATTAAGGGGAACTTTAGTCTTTGCAATGATTTTTTTGATGTGTATGTGAAAGGTCCTTACGTATTGATACAGTGATAATATAAGGATGAAAGCATTTTTTTGAATCAACTTTTTATTCACTTTTTTATTTAATACAGTTATATACATAAAGAAAAAAAACAGAAAACGTAACAAAACCACATTTGGCATACAAGTAAATACAATTTACATTAACCTTCATCAACATTCTACACCCCCCAACCTAGAAGGCAGAAAAACCACAAAAAAAGGAGCAAACCTCAGATTTAACATTTTAATTATTAATCAACATCCCAATCCTAGCGTTAAATACAAAAAGGAAAAATCTCCTTAAAGTGACATTAAAGTCAAAAATAGTTTTCCCCTCCCCTAATCTTATTTAAAGCACTTACTTTAAATGATGTTCCTTAATCCGATCTTCTTCTTTCCTGTCGTTTTCATCTGTCCCTCCAGCGCTGCTGCGCGTCTCCGATCCAGCTCTGACTCCTCTGTGCTTGCTGGCACTTCCTGTCCCACGGTGTCTGCATGCGGGTGCACGCGTCCATAGACTTACCGTGTGTCTCTCCTCCTCTCCCGGCCGAAAATCTGAACTGCGCATGCGCCCGCCCCAAGATGCTTTGCTGCCGCCTGAGAATTTTCAGATTTTCGGACAGGAGCGCGTGGTGAAGACAGGGGAAAGTTTAAACCGCTTTTAAAGCGTTTTTTTTTTCTTTTTTATGTTTTTGCATATACTGTATATCCTGCTTGCTAGCAGTAGATATATGCACAAGAAAAACGGAGGGTTTAATAAACCTTTAATTATTATTGTGTAACAAGTCCCCATATTGGGATTATATATTTATTAAATCTACTAAACATCTGAATCATTGTGAGCACAATGATTTAGTAACTCTTAGCTTTTGATGAGACGATCCGCAAAGGAAATTGGTACCAGAAGACTTCCCTCTGCTGCAAGTCTGAATGGGGATCAGATAGCCATATAATGCCCAGCTGTGGGTCCCACTCTGGTCAATGTATGACTAGTGAAGTATCTCCACTGACATCCATTAACCCAACATATCTAACGCCCCTTGTACAGGGCCGGATTTGCTCTCCCTGCCTCCCCAAGGCCAGGTTCCGCAATGCGCGCCCCCTCCCCGGCAACCAGCCTCCCCCTCAACGGAGAATGGAACCGGATGGCAGGGGCGGCAGGGTTAGTTCTAATTTTTTTTATGGTTTCCCTGTTTTTTCTTACTTTTTTCTTACTTTTTTATTTTTATTTATTTTTTACATTTTTAGCTTGTTTTATTTTTTTTATAATACCTCGGTGGCCTTGTGGTGAATCCGGGCCTGCCCTTGTACTTTCTCCCCTGGGGCTAACCCCCATCCATGATCAACTATCAAAGATCAGAGCATCTACTGAGATTCCGGAATTTGATAGTTGAATGAGGGGGCTGGCAGGATGGACAGTGCTTAAAGTGACATTAAATGTCCCTCCCCCCAATCTTAATGTCAGCAATTACCTTAAATGATGTCTCTTAATCCGATCTTCTTCTTCTTTCCTGATGTTTTCATCTGTCCCTCCAGTGGTGCGGCGGCTCTCCGATCCAGCGCTGACTCCTTGGAGGCACTTCTGATCCCGCGGTGTCTGCATGTGGGTGCACGCGTCCATAGACTTACCTTGCGTCTCTGCTCGTCTCCCAGCCGAAAATCCGAACTGCGCATGGGCCTGCCCCAAGATGCTTTGCGGCCGCCCAAGCAGTTTCAGATTCTCGGGCGGGAGCGCGCGGCGATAACGGGGTAAGTTCACATCGCTGTTAAAGCGTTTTTAATTTTTTTTTTACTTTTTGCCTATATCTACTACTTGCCGAGGAAACTCCTTTAATCATAATTTGGACAAAAATCAAGAGTACATGTACAATTTGGGTCTACAACCAAAGTGGAACTATCCAGCACCTTCACCACCACAGCTGAGAATAGATTGGAGCCGATTGGAGCCGGGTCACACTGACTTTAACACGTTGCAAATGATCATTAATTTAATCCTTTAATTATGTACAACAGGTTTTATAAGAATAATGATGGGATTGTACAATGCTATCATTAATTGTATCACAAGACTTGTTTTTGATGCTGACATATTAATATACTCCTAGTTTACATAGTTTTCAAGTACAGCAGAGAAAGGGAAGAGTACAATATAGCTACTTATTTTGTGATTAATACCTAGCTAAGAGTAAGACATAAACTCAGCCTTATAAAACACCTATTGCCCCACCCCTGTTTGTACCCCAGCCATCCCCGACCCACAGGGTGCACCACTGTGCCCAAGAAAAAGAAAATTAATAAACTCAACCTTATGAAACACAGGACGCCCCACCCCTGTGTGTAGCCCAACGCTCCCTAGGGGTGCCCCCTTCTGACTATGAAAAAGAAAATACCTATACACACATTTGTCCCTGGTGTCTGTGGCCAGGATCATCCTCTTCTTCTTCCAACAGTGGGCGGATCTTAGATGATGCAGGGAGTGGCAGAGTGCATTCTCTTGTGAGTTCAGTGTGGTGGGAGGATCCGTGACACGCTGAGCTCACAGGAAGTGGGTTTAATCCATGGTTGGCCTAAGAGTTGGGTTGCATTTTGTTGACAATGCTGAAACGTGCATAGATTGTGGACATATGCTATTCGTTTTGGAAAGATCCATTATTCAGGTGGATTTTCGTTATTAGGATACAATTTTTACAGTCCGCAGAAGAAAAAAAAAAGCGTGAGGTCCCCCCCAATTGATACCAACCAGGGCCTCTTCCCCACAACCCTGCGGCAGGGGGCTTATTTGCATCAGGGCACCCACATACCGCCCCCTCCCCTTGTATATGAGTAAGGAGTACTTGTACTCCTACTCAATCACTAAAGGGTTAAACAAAAATGTAAATAAACACACTACACCTTAGAAAAAATAATCTAATTGTCAATTCCTTTATTTAAAAAAAATGAAAAATGGCTCCATCGCTGTAATCCAGCGTTAATCATGATCTAATCTAAGATGTGTAAAGTTTCCTGCTTCACATACAAAGTTTCTCAATCTATGATCTAATTCTCCCTTCTCTTTTCTATCTAGTTGTAGAAGAAACCCCAAAGCCAAAATGCCAGACCGGAATGGGATCTCCTCTGCCGAGTGGATATTTCTACAACAATATTTGGCAACCCGTCTACTGCAGCATGACCGTCTACAAGACCGGGGAGGACTTCCTTAAATGCCTGGAGAGAAAAAAACTCTTCCTCATAGGAGATTCAACATTGCGCCAGTTCATCATGCACTTTACAGAAGGCATCAAAAGTAGGGGTGTGACTTCAAGTAACTTTATATGGTGTATTGATAAAGAACTTGCAGAACCATTTGTCCTGCCAAACTCCGTGAACGTTCGTTCTTGTGAATGGAGACAAAAAAACAAATGTATTAGTATATTTTCTTTTCAGGTCGAAAGAAATATTAGGAAAATACCATAGTATGGCCACTAGATGGAACTGAGGAGCATAGAAAATAGATATTTATTACCAATGCTCCTCAGCTCCATCTAGTGGTCATAATGTGGTATTGTTTTGTGAATTCTTTATAATTACACCCACTTTGTCTTTGTTGCAGGAAAAATAATATGTAAGTTAGAGAGACACTATTGTCTTACCCATGCAGGCAGGGCCGGTGCTAGGATTCTAGGCAAGGTAGGCAAGGTGCATTTTTGCGCCCCCCCCCCCACCGTAAGGCGGCCGCCTGACTTGCGGTAGCGCCGGGCCTGCATGCAGGGCAAGTTAATAATGTCTTTGAAAAGGGCATCTCCGGATTCCCTTATGCAAACCTCACCTGCGCTCCCTTACAGCCCTTTTCTTCTGGGCAACAGTAACAGGTAAACCTTTAAACCTTTGGGTCTGAAAGTCAATTTGTTTCGGCATTCGTATTCGGATAAATCCGGATTTCGTTAATTTCGGATGAGTTAAATGATCATTACAAACTGAAATTCGTTGCAGCAAAGTGTAATTAC